TTTTATCAAAATTTGATATAAATTCATTTGGTATGCGATACAAGATCATAAAATAAATATTATATGTGTAGTTCCACCGATCGTGCTTCAACTGGTTAAAGTCCCAGTTGTTGGCAATTATGATTTAACAAGCTTGAAATTTTTATTCTGTGCTGCTGCTCTGTTAAGCGAAGAGTCGAGTAATATGTTCAGCAACAAATTTGGTACACCTCTTAAGCAAGGTTATGGACTTACTGAAACTACACCAATCATTACAATGGATAGGACCGATGATATCACAATTGGTAATTTAAAAGATTGTCGAAGGAAGGACAGAAGGAAATAAATGAATAAATAATTTTTTTTTTTGAAAAAAAAAATATGGAATTCTTATAGCAAAATATGGAAGCAAAAATTATTGATGAAAATGGAAAAGGTAATTAACAACGAATCATTCATTATTTATCACTAAACAATTAATTGATTATTATATGTTTATATTTGATAGAACTTGAGATTAACGAACAAGGTGAACTATGTGTTCGTGGTCCAAACATTATAAAGGTACTGATCATATTTATATGAATATTGTTAATCAATTTACTTTAATTGATCCTTTACATGTCTAAGAAAACCAAATAGGGTTTATCGAGGCCACTAAAGAATGTATTATTAGTAAAGATGGATTTTTCCGTACCGGAGATGTTGCTTTTATTGATATTAATAAAAATGGTAGATTATTGTAATATCATAAAACTCTTTTATTTTTAATTGGCATATTTCTTATTATTGTTATTGTAAGATAATGTTGTTTGACAAAATTTTACCAAAGTTGTAAAACTATTACGTTAAATTAAATCAAAACGACACTTTAAATGCTAAAATATCACTTTATTGACGATCCTTGAAAATTATTATTTTAGTAATCAATGAATTATAAAAAACAAACAATTTTTTATTTGAAAGAGGAGAAATAGGCTTTTATTTAAAAAAGAACTCGGATTAATTTAATTCAAGGTTATAAAGTTACAGGTCCTGTGACAAAACTTTTTGAACCCCCCACGTAAAGTAAATTTGTAAACTGGTTAATTGACAAGCACCAAATTATTTGCAAGAGTAAGCAAAAGTTAAGCCATAATTGTTAATCAACCGAAATGATACCACGATTTAACAAGAGTCAAAAGATTTATTATTTCAAAACATTATTATAATTTAGCTTTAAAGAAACAAAATAAGGATAAAATAAAAAGATAAATAAAAAGATAATGAATAAATTTATAGTGGAGATTAAATTAGTCATTCGTCGATTCTCTTCTTTTACTATTGTGATTAATTAATTAATATTGTTAGTAATGGATAATATTTTCCAATTAATTAATAATAAAATTTTTATTCACCTTTGTTAACATTTAGAAAAAAGAGTTACAATCAAGATTATTTAACGAACTATTGCTTGTATAACTTTTAAAGCTCTTAGATTTAGCAATCTCTTCATCCAATATTCTGCTTGTATGATATGCGTCTGGATGTGGTTTGTGTACTTGTTGCAAAGCACTACTACCACCACTGCTGCTATTGCCATCATTATTAAAATCAATTTCATGTTTTTTGATTTTAGAAAATATGAATAATCTTTTTATTAAACTTTTATTTTTTAAGTTCTTATTTGTTAAACTTTTATTTTCAAAAACTTCATTATGTTTATTTATAGCAAAATAAAACAGCTCTTCATTAGTTGGTCTTTTTGATGGTTCCACATCCCAACACCTCTGCATCATTTGGACATAATCATCAGGCATTCCAGGTAATATTGGTGGTCGTAAGCCTTCTGCACATATATCAAAAATCAAATGATGATTGTGAGCTCTATCATCAAATGGTTGATGACCTGCAAATAATTCCCACATTAACATCCCAACACTATAGATATCAGATTCTTTGGTGTTCTTCTTGCCTCTAAGTAGTTCTGGTGCAACATATGATACAATTCCATAGACTTTATTTGATGATTTTTCATCAACTGATCCACATAATCCCAAATCTGTAATAAAACAATTACCTCCTTGCACAAGTATATTACCACTATGTAAATCACAATGAATTAAATCTTTTTCATGTATATAATATAATGCCTCACATAAACAATGAAAGATTGTAATTCTGTCTTTTAATGTTAAATTTAAATGGTTTTTTTGCAAATAACCCCTTAAATTTCCCTCTGAAATATAGCCTAAAACTATTGCAAAATTTCCATTATCTGGGAATTTAGTTATACCATGGCAAGGAATAATCAGTGATGTTCTAACTTTACAATAATTCATTGCCTATTGGATATAAAATCAATTAGTATTATATAATACAGTATTATCTTTTTATTTATCTTTTTATTTTATCCTTATTTTGTTTTTTTAAAGCTAAATTATAATAATTTTTTGAAATAATAATTCTTTTGAATCTTAAATTATAGTATCATTTTGGTTGATTAACAATTATGGCTTAACTTTTGGTTACTCTTGCAAATAATTTGGTACTTATCAATTAATCAGTTTACAAATTTAATTTAGTTTCCTCTCTCTTGAACCTGGACGAGTCTGTGAGCACACACTCAATGGCACCAGATAATTATAAATAAATAAAGATGCCCTTTTATAAAGCTCAAGGGCTTCTATAAAGTTCCTTTTATTCACTGTGATTGATTTATTCGCTTACATTTATTGACCCATTTGGTTTACTTGCAAAAAAAGCTTAATTCGTAATCCGTGAAACAACTGCAAAAATTTGCCAATCATTAATATGTTTTTGTGGTGATAATAAAAACATTATAATTTTCAAGAGTTTTGAGAATCTGACATCACCTCACGTGACCAACATGAGTCAAGAAAATTACATGACCACGATAATTTTTATTTTATTTTAAAAAAGAGTAACTATTAAAAACTAAATAGAAATGACATATTTATATTTTTCTTGGATAAAATTAATTCTATAACCATTTTTACATCATAAATATTTTTAGTTGCTTACTCAAACCTTTAAATTTTATATAGTAATTTTAGGCAGGAATCCAGCGATTCCTACATATAAACATAAAATATTTTATAAGAAAGTCCCTTTGAAAATTTGTATATTTAAACTTCGAGATTCATATCATGTGTTAAAAGTACAATTTTAGTTTATATCAACATAAAGGAGTTGGAGTCCAGAAAATTTTAATTAGCGACCTGCAAAATTTTGCAGATGTTTCACGGATCACAATTACAATAATACTACCAGTATTTCTGATTAACATACACTAGTTATCCAACTTTATTCTTAACTATGCATTGTGTTAAATTGATTAACTACAAAATTACATGCAATATGTAGTAATACGCAATAACAATAATATTAATAATATGCTTGAGCTGTCTTTAGTGTCTGAATTTGAAGCAAATATAAGTTGGTTAATATTGGTACTTAGAATGACCTTTACATAGCACATAAGACAGTTTTGGTACATGTTTTTGTAAAATTTTAATTTTGTTTTCTATTTTTATCACTTTTAAATTTTCAAAGAATTTGTTTTATTGTTGAATCATGATAAATCGATCACTAGAGTTAGATGATGGTGAAATTGATCTTTAAATAATGCAATTTTCGTTTTTCGATTTACATAATAATAATAAAATAAAATGTTGTACGAAAAAATTGTTTGTTACACGTCCGCAATGAAAAAAGGAAATAATATAACCGTTATTCTCATTCATTAAAACAACAAGCCAAAGGTTTATATTTTATAATGTCATATTACAGTTTGTTATCACCAGAAAGGACAGGATTTGTAAGAAAAACCAACAATGAAATGTATAATAATGCTAATGTTAAGAGCTTTCTGAAAAAGAAAAAAAATTTTGTAAAGAAAATTTTATTTATTGGCATGAATTAAATAATGCAACATATAAATGGGGCAAACCAAAAGAATGTAACAAGTGTAAATTGACAAAATACTCTGATAGATTCTGTGAAGTTTGTATCAGTTTACATTTACAGAGTCTTTTCACCACTTGGACATCTGGAAATAACATAGTTGACAACTTTATTCAACAATATCAAATGAAATCATCTCTGCCAAACTATATTATAGAATGGGTACCTTTTGAGCAATTTTATGATGTAACAAGGTTGACAGAAGGTGGATTTAGTTCAAATTATACTGCTACATGAACAAGAGGAAGTGTTGATGATTATGATGAAAATAAAAAGGAATTTAGTTATTTTGGAGTTAATGGGCAAATGGTAGTATTAAAAAGTTTAAACAATTCAAGTAATCCAGGAAAAGCATTTTTTGATGAGGTTAGTAGTTGTCATTTAAA